TATGAAGATAACGATTCCTTACTCAAAGAAGAATAGCTAGAATAAATAACGATTCCTTACTCAAGGAAGAATAGCTAGAATAAAAAAAATAAAACATGCTTCAAAGAAATTAATTACTCAAATCATGAACTCGAACAGTGCAATGTAGATCCTTGGATGCATTTTTGTCCGTTTTAGCAATACCAAAAGAGAAATGAATTCTTCTCACACATATTCCATATTAAAAGTGAGAAACTAAAAATAAATACTAATATTTATTTATTAAATAATTTAACATCCAAATGCAGATTCATCACAAACACAGAGATACAAACATCTTAACCTCACTTGAACGTAAGTTTTGCTAGAGATGAAACTTAAAAGCAACCATCACAAAATGAACTAAATCAGCAAGAAATTAAATAAAAATTCAGTAGTCACACTATGAACTAAACACAAAACCAAAGAGTATGGATAGAAAGCTTACTGTAAATAGAGTAGCACAATTGATATGGGGTAGTAGAGTTGGTCAGGTAGGATTGTTTAGGGAGTACGGATGAATAGAAGGGAATCAATTGTAAATGTTTGTGCTGGTGATCAATAAAAATTTTATTTTTACCAAAAAAAAATGAACTAAACAAAAATAATTTAGGAATGCAGATTAATACAAAATTAATATACAAAATGCAGATTATTTCCTTGGAATATTTTGCATGAAACATAATCGAAAATGCTAAAGAAGTCATAAAATTCGAACTTCATAGATAATGAAAAAAGTAAACATGAAATAAGCATGCCCAACTTCATACAATACTTGATATTCAAAATGAAAAACAAAGTTTTCATCTCTTGCACACCAAAGAAAAATAGCCAACACTTTTCTAACATAAGATAAAATAAGAACTAAAATTGACATAATTAGTTTGCAATATTTTCTGACAGCTTCAACCCAATAAATATGCCCGCTAATATAGCAGATGAAATAGTATTTGCTGCACTTTCATTTGTTACCACTTCTTCACTTTCTTCAATAGCCGAGCTTGAAGATGACTCTTCCTGTGAACAACTTATTTTTTGAAATTTGTTGAAGGCTTCTAAGGCTTCATCATAACATTGGAAAGCTTGAAAGTAGCTACCCTCGACTCCAACAAGCATATTAACACACTCACACCAACATTTGTATATTCCCGGCTTCTTATCACAAAATACAACAAAAATCATAGATTTGAGATTTTGTTTACCTTCAACTGATTTTTCAAATTCATTGAACGCCGATATGGCCGCATCGTGAGACTTGAAAGACTGGAAGATGATACGCTTAACCTCGAGAACCATAGGAGAACATTCACTCCATGAGTAGTATATTCCTAATATTTTATCAGAAAATATAACATATACTTTTGAAGCACTATTCTTCTTCGAATGCACCATTATTGATTCCTTAATCTATTAACTCACACTTAAAAGAACATATGAGTTTAAATGAAGGTTTGTTTAAGTATGTTTTCGGCCATCTAGGGTTTTGTTTAAGTAAGGTTTTGACCATCTAGGTTTGTTTAAATAGTAGGGCTTTGAAGACCTTATTATACTAAAAATATACGAAATACACAATCAAATACATGTTTATAGATGAATAATTTTGAAATATATACGTATATACTACAAAAAAAGGATGAAAATATGTAAAAAAAAAAAATAATTAAAAAAAAAGGTTTATGGGAAATAGAGTTTGCAACCTTTGAGATCTTCCATGTATTGGGAAGACAACTATTAAATGGGTGGGAGAGAAATATTCAAACCTAACTAAAAGGGCATTATCGGTATAAAGATTCGCCTGGAACCTAATTTGGGAGTAAATTTATCTTAATGACCCCATTTGGGTCAAGGTGGCCAAAAATGGTGTGGCCAAAAGGATTTTTCCAAAGAAAAAAAGAAGTAAGGATAGTTTGTAAATTACATCTCGAATGTCACATTTCGATTTGTCAAAACATAAAGTGTTTACCGGATATTCAATAGTGGACAAATGACAAATTACGTGGGGCTATTCAAGGAGGGTTTGGAACCAAAATGTGATTCTTTTGGACTCAAAGAACAAAAATGTGGTTCTTTAATATATAACGTTATTTTAAAGGGCGCTATACCTTAACGACCGGTTACCCGTTAAGGTATAGCGCCCTTTAAAAAGGCGCTATGTTTGAATCCACATGGCGCAGGAAAAACAGATAAATAGAATTTAATGTATTAAAAGATGAGTAGAGTGGTGGATGGTGCAATGGTAGAGTGCACCACCCTACTCCTCCTTGAATACACTAAATTCTATTTATCTGCGTTTTTTGCGCCACGTGGATTCAAATATAGCGCCTTTTTAAAGGGTGCTATACCTTAACGGGTAAATGTCCGTTAAGGCATAGCGCCCTTTAAAAAAACGTTATATATTAAAAAAAAAGTCACTATATTTATTTTTCGCACATTATAATTCTTTAAATTCAAAAAAATCACATTTTGAATTCGGACTCTATTCAAGGAGGCTTTCATAATGTATGACGAGCTCAGAAATTCACACTATTCTTTGTTGGACTCTATTCAAGGAGGCTTTCATAATGTCTGACAAGCTCAGAAATTCACACTATTCTTTGTTAGACTTGTCTTCTCTTTCTAGATCATTCTAGGACTCACGAACCATATCTCCATATACTGTCATTTTCAAGTCTAAAAGAGTAAAATTATACAACAACTACAAACCAAGAATAATTTTACGAGTTAGGTTTGGGGAAGATAACGTGTACGTATTTTACCCCTATCTTAAAGATAGAGACACTATTTCAGATAGATCATCGGCTCAAGGAAAGAATAAAATTATACTTGGATATAAATGCTAATTCTGTATTTATATGTAGTAAACTTCACTATTTGTACATATATATATATATTAGTATAACTATGAGTAATGATAACTAAACCTATTAAGTTTTAATATTTGAACTTAACACGAAATATGAAGATACTGATTTTGCATACCCATTATACAATTTTTATCTCTCTGAAAATAAGAGAAGAGGCGGAGTCGGGTGGCAGCGGCCACTCGTTGAGCTGCCAACAGTTTAAAGCCCCTTGGTTGGTTGCTCTGACTTCTGAGTGGGTTTGCCTCGAGAATATTACTTTAAAAAAATGTCACTAGAATCTTGTAAATTGAATTGTATTTTTTCTCCTTAGACTCTTGACTGAAAATGCCTATTAACTTAGGACTCCTCATGTAAAATGAAACACTTAAGCAAAATTTAAAGTACTATTCCCTCCGTCCTAATGTATGTTATGCAACTTTGGCTGATCACGAAATTTAAAAAATAAAATAAATAAAATTTATGATCTAAAATAAGTTATAAATATAATGCGTATATATAATATGAAAATTTTAAAGTTAAATTATTTTTATTTATAAAAAAATAAAGTATATTATTCTTTTTGAAACGTAACATAAATGAGAGTGCATCATATCATTGGGACAAAACGAGTACAACTATTTTATACCATATACAAATCATTTTAGAAAGCCAAAGGCTCTAGAGGTCAATTCGTTTACACCAACACCTACTACGAGTAGTTGGTGCTTTCTTGGGATTAAACTTTTCTTTCCCATAAATTAGAAGGAACAAACAAAAATATTATATTAAATCCCCCTCCCCTCCCCTCCCCCAAACCTTTTTTTTTACTTTCTAAACCGGTCCACAATAAGTGACCAATTTGTCTTGGGCACACCCATTAAGGAAACACTAAATTTTAGACAAAAATAGTTAATGTAACAAAACTACCCTTAATTAAATATTGAAGCATAGTTAATGTGAGGAGTAAAAGACTTTTTAGAGATACGTACATAAGAGTAACTTTGAAAAAGCAAATTGAATTTTTTCTTGGTTTTATAAATTGACACTTATTTTGGACCAAAATAAAAAAATAAATTAATCACTTATTATGGACAGAAAGGAATACCATTTATCATAAACTTTGTATTAAAGTTGACAATTAAATAGCTTTCTTGAATGTTAGAAGCCTCTAGTAAATTAGTTTCTAGAGAATAGAGATATTCTAGCGCACAGTTTTGAAGTTGCAATTTGACTCGAGGTATTATAGTTCTAACTTGAGTTATTGCAAGAGAGCGTAAAACACTAATTGCAGTATTGATTACAAGTATAAAGCAGATAATGACTTGCTTATTATTTTAATTAATAGTATTATTATATTATATTATATTATATTATATTATATTATATTATATTATATATAGAGTCAGAGGATGTGCACTCAGGATTAAGAAACTGACATAGGTCCGCAAGTGTGAAACGAAAACAAAAGGCTGGAGTCCAAAACCAAAAGGTGGTGAATAAATAAAAACCTAAAAGAATAAAGAAATTGGGTGATAAAGATAGATCAATTGACTTAATATTATCAAATAATTACCGGAAAGAATAATACTTGTGAAAATAGTCAAAATATTAATTATAGTGGACCAGAGAGAGTAACTTATTGAAACATCTTTAAATATATAAAAATATGTATTTTTTTAACAAACTAAAAATTACATTATTTTATCAGAAAAATATTATCCAATAAACCAAAAAGAGTTTAATTTATACACTCCATTTACCTTGAATTGAGTATTTAGTTATCATTTGAATCTAAATAAAGACAGGAATAAATCTGAAAAATGAAAAAGTAGGGAAAAAGTTTTGTACTCTTTTCCATTTATAAGAAAATTCAATAAATACTAAACTAAAGGTATTTGTTAAAAGCCAAAAAGGAGCAACAGAAAGTGGAAAAATCCAAAAAAAAGAAGAAAAAAGAGTAATCTGTATCCTCCGTCAGCGCCACGTAAAAACCCGGCCCCATTGAGATGTTATCCAGAAGAAGTTGACAAGTAAACTCCACGCGCTAATAAATTTCCTATACATATAGTTCCATTTTGTATCTATAGGCGCGTCTTTGTAAAGCAAGCACACTATAAATATAGAGTCACACCCAAAACCCCTTCATTCTATCTTCACTACTTGCTTTCTCCATCTAAAAACCTCCATTTTTTAGCTTTAACTCAGTCAGCATAACATTACAAAGGACAATATTCTTGATTTAAATATATTCAGGTATTTATTTTCTTTCCTTTTTTATGTCTATTTTTTCATTTATATTTGATTGAAAAGGTTACAGCTTTTTGTGGTTTGGAATTGTTGTGTGGCAAACTTTTATCTTTTTCAAGATTTGTTCCCTAAACCTGTAGCTCTTTCTAATATGCAGAAGTGTTGATATCTATTACATTTACAGCTCTAGATTTGACCTGCTATAGTTATGCCTTATGCCCTTTTTAATCCCCAAAAATTACCTGGAAAAAAGAGATTTTTCTTTGCTTTTGGTTGGGATGGGGGGAGGAGAGAAGGTAGGTAGGAAGATATAAACTTAAAAGATGATTTGAAAACTGTTTTTGGTACTACTCAAGAAACAAAAAGTTGTTATTACTTAGTAGTTTTTGTACATATATTTGGTTGGAACTTGAAAAAATGAGTTTTTAAAGATGAGAGGAAAAATAATTTTTGGAAGTTGAAATTGTGTTTGGACATGAAAGGAATTTGAAGTTTTGTGAATAGAAAACTTCAAAAACTACTCTAGAGTTGTTTTTGGGATTTGAAGATTTTATTTTCAGAATCTGCCAAAAAATAGTTATAATTTCTAAACAAACAGATATTGAAAACAAAATTTGAAAAAAAGCTCCCAAATTTTATGGCAAGACGGGAGCTTAAGTAATCCTATGCGTTCAGACAGTTGAAGATCTTTATACTCTTACTAGTAAATCAAACATCATTGTTGGACCTTTGCCTTGCCCCTTTGAATACTTTAAGAACCAACATTTAAGAACTTTTGTGCAACTTGATTTTAGAAGGACAAAGTCAAATATTACAATTATGTTTCAGTGTTAGTGTTTGCAAATCTCCATACTAGTTATATCTAAATAATTTTCACAGTTTTTTGTTTGTTCTAGCTGTATCGAGATCCTGTAATTCTAATCCTTTTCTCTCTTGGAATATGTTTCTACAGGCGCTAATAGCAATCAAGAAAATTACATCGAAAAGTAGGATATGGCCCTAGATCTTCATTTCCAAGAGCAAACAGCAGAGGCTGTCTTTGACGAGTGTCCTACTCCCTTAGAGAAGTGGAAGACGACGTTTGATGATGAGCGTGAAGACAATCTATCTGGTGGTTTTGAGTGTAACATATGCCTGGATTGTGTGCACGATCCTGTGGTTACATTTTGTGGTCACCTCTATTGCTGGCCTTGCATTTACAAGTGGATTCAATTCCAGAGCATCCCTTCAGAAAATTCGGATCATCAACAGCCTCAATGCCCTGTTTGCAAGGCTGAAGTTTCACAAAAAACCTTGATTCCACTCTATGGCCGCGGCCAAGCTACAAAACCATCTGAAGATGACGTTCAAAGTAAAGGTATGCTCATACCACAAAGACCTCCTAGTCGAAGATGTGGCGGTCACACACTGATAGCAACTATCGATTCAAATCCATCTCAGCAACCTCATCATCAAAGCAATCGTCTGCAGTCTCAAACACATCAGCCTTATCCTGCCAGCCTTGATGGCACGACAATGAACGCTTTACATCCCATGATTGGGGAAATGGTTTATGCACGAGTATTTGCAAACGCATCACCGACATTGGATTCATATCCAAACTCATATCACCTAGCAGGCGGCAGAAGTTTGAGAATGAGACGGCAACTATTACTTGCTGATAAATCACTTGGTAGAGTATATTTTTTCCTCTTCTGTTGCGTAGTAGCATGTCTGCTCTTGTTTTGACCACTTTTTCCGGTACATTTGTATACATTTTAGAAATATGAGTACAATAGTAGAAGATGAATATACGAGCTTGGCTCAATGTTACATGCCAAAGAAGTTTTTCCATCTTTTTTCTGGCTAGGATTTAAGTCATATACACTCTTTTACACTATTAGTGAATTTTAACCTGTGATAGCAACTTTGTTGCTATTTTTACCAGATTACCTATTAGTGCATATCAAGAAACCTGCATGTAATTACCTAATAAGGAATCTGATTGTATATAAAAATTACAGTGTCTGTGCTTAGAAACTCAATTCTGGCTCTTATCCATTCTGGTGCATATCCAAGAAGCTGTTTATTGCAAAATTACTACTCATTAGAAGCAACTGCTAATTCCTGTCTGAAAAAAGGAGAGGAAAAATAGTTGTTCATATCAAGGCTTGGAAGTTCTGTTAATGTTAAGCAAAATAGCTAATCTTCATCAAGAAACCAATAGAAGAGGTTTTAGAAAGGTTGAATTAGTCTTTCCTTGGTCAAACAGAACTTTTTTCTTCGTCAAACATCCATGTCCAAATTCCAAATATTTGAGTAGTCATCTTGATTGTCAAGGAATGTCAATTTTCAATTTCTTTGCGTGAGCTGGAAGAAGGGGACCCTTAGAGCTACGATAAAGTCAGAGAGTTCGAGTCGTGGAAACACATATTAATACGATAAAGTCAGAGACCTTTTCATGAGTTCGAGTCGTGGAAACACATATTAATACGATAAAGTCAGAGACCTTTTCATGAGTTCGAGTCGTGGAAGCACATATTAATACGATAAAGTCAAAGACCCTTTCATGAGTTCGAGCCGTGGAAGCACATATTAATACTTGCATTAGAGTAGGTTGTCTACTTCACACCCCTTAGGGTGAGATCCTTCCCTGTATGCTTTGTGCACCGGGCATCCGTTTTTTGGTTGAGCGGGAAACAATACTTTTGATGTTATCTTGATTCAGGGAGTTTGCAAAAAATAGCATTTTTTCAGTGTTTAGCCTAATCATATATGAAATAAATACAACGAAATGAGAGAATGTTGGTTTCCATTTCTATGTATTTGATTTTGTTTATTTCAATTTTCCTAGATTCGGATTCGACTTTTGGACTATTCAACACAACCAATTTAACTTTTTGAATATGTATCACATGGTTCAAATCGTTTGAATGAGAGCAGGAAAAAAAGGAGATAAAATTCAATTCTTAAAAAAAGAGTATAAATTTCAAATGTTAGTCTAAAGTATTTTTAAAACCATAAAATTCATAATCAAAGAAAGAAAAGGTAAGAAAATCTCACTTGCCTCGGTTTGTGATTAATCTTCTTTTAAAGCTATGTTAATTAAATTTGGTGCATACACCGGATAAAAGTAAAGCTTTTTCTACAGATAGTTTTTAACCATAATATTACTAGCAGAATGAGATTAGTTTTTTCCTGTTTCATTATGAATATGTGACGTAGCGAAAGTTTCTGGAAGGAGCAAAAAGTTATAAAGAACCATATCTTTGAAACAATATCACTATAAAAAAAAATTAAAATTAGCTACTAATTCCATAGTTAATCTATCGCTAAATTGCTCGTACCTAAGAGAATTTCTTGATAATCTATCGCTAATTCTCTAAATAGGATTAGCGACAATTTTTTTTGCTTTAACTACAAAATTTTTCCTTCACTAATTTCTGATTGTTTTAGTGGTGTAATTATTGGTCTGTAAATAATGATATCATATACTGTTTCAAGGGAACAGAAAAAAAATTATTATTTTTTCTTTGAAAAAGGGCATATGGCCATTAATGTGTTTCGTTCAATAAATATGTATAAGGCATGTAGATGCATTATAAAAGGGAAAGTTTTTTTTAATTATATATAGGAGATATAATATGGTTTAGTGCTTTTTGCAATTAGATTTTGATGCTGCATTCTAAGCATTCGGCCGATTATTTTATAAAATTTGTACCATATCAATTTTTCGATTATTCTATTATGTATAACCAAAATTAGACTTTTCAAAACCGTCCCAATCATGTCGGTTTCTCTTCGGTATCGGTACGATTCGGTTAATTTTCGATATTTTTTTAAATATCATGTAAATTCACCAGTAAAAGTAGAATGCAATAAATACGTTCTTTTATAGGACTTATCAAAACTCTCTAGACATTTTTACTGTTTAAAGAGTAATGAAGTATGAAAGATGACTAGAGTATAGATCCATCAACTATTCTACAACAACGTAAAGGAACTCAAGCAAAGGCAAAGAAAATATAAATCACACGAGTGAAAAGATATTAACCAAGTTGAGACTCAAGAATAAAGTCTATAGAAGATTAAATATTCAAAAAGATAAATCTAAATTATATGAAAGGAAACATATTCAATACATTGTAGTTTGCTACTCATAATCGCTAGAATACTTTGTGTCTTGCTAATAAAGATACTTGAAATAACTTAGTTTAAGTAGAAGTGGCATAATAGGTTTTAGGAATTAGTATTTGGAGTTTAATTACATGTTGGCTTGTAATAGTTTTCATAATTCCAAGACCCAAAGAAAAATTTAATGCATTATTATTTTTAAACTTACTAGATAAATATATTTTTCACATGTAAAATTTATTCGGTATAGTTCGATATTTTTTCGGTTTATTTTTATAAAATAAAAAATCTACCCTAATTATCGGTGTGGTTATAGATTTATATAAAAACCTACCGTTTCTTAAAAATAAACCTAAAAATCGGTTCGGTGCGGTACAGTTCGATCGATTTAATCGATTTTTGAATATCCATTGACACCCCTAATTCTAAGTGACATAAGGTAGGTCCTTATTGTCAACTTAGAGCCCGAGCCATAATTGTTTTCACTTTTTTTACGATTTGTTATTTCAAAATCAGTGTTTGGTCATGAAAATTTTAAAGTTCACTTGAAGTTGAATTTCGGCATTTTTCGAAAATTTAAAAAATGGCAAAAAAATTACTTTCTAAAATTTTCACTTCAAATACTCACAAAAATTCAAAAACAGCTTCAAATTGTTTTCATGTCCAAACACAACTCTAATTTTCAAATACCATTTTCAATTTTTTTTAATACTTTTCTCCGTAATTTCACAATTCTTATATCCAAACTCCCACTTATTCTTTTCTTTCATTTCTTAGTTTATCTTGTGGAGCAAGACAATCATATCAACCAGCTAGTGTCACGACCCAAATTCCCACCACAAGTGTCGTGATGACACCTAATCTCTAAGACTAGGTAAGTCGATTTCCATTACATTTCAAAGTCATTTTTTTTATAAACGAAACCAACAACAAAAATAATTATAACAACCTCCCAAGACTGGTAGTATTGAGTCACGAACTCTAACATAATACATGAAATGATCTCAATGATCGAATACTCAATACTGTTTGACTAAAAATTAAGAGTACAATGAAATGAACAGACTCCAAGGAACTGCGACGACTAAGCAGCTCTACCTTGAATCCTTGCAATCACACTCTAACTCTGTCCAGGTCCGATACCTCCAATACCTAGCTCTGCACAAAAATGTACAGAAGTGTAGTATGAGTACACCACGGTCGGTACCCAGTAAGTATCAAGACTAATCTCAGTGGAGTGGAGTGGAGAAGAGGTACAGTCAAGACACTCACTAGTCAATTAATCTGTGCAATATAGCAGTATATAATAGTACTGAAAAACAACTAGCAATAAGAACATCATAATTATTACTCAGGCGAATAAGGAACACAAGTACAATCAATAAGTCAAGTCCTTCAAATATAAATCCTTCACATATTATTCTTTAAAATAAATATCTTTCGAATATACTTCTTTTGAATAATTATCTTTCAAACATAATTCTTTCCAATAAATATATTTTCAAGTAAAAGTCACCATGTGACACCTCATTTCACAATCATAAAGATTACGGGTCTCAACTCACTTTCATATTTTCCACGGCATCCCGTGCCCATATTTCTATCACCATTACACCGACAATTCACGTGTCAATAAATAAATCATCATATTTTTTCCCGGCACCTCATGCCCATATTATTTTCATAACTGCACGAACAACTCACGTACCAACATATCAATGTATATAAGATCCGCATGATCAATTTATTTTCAATAAAGTAAGGTTAAAAATCTTTAAATCAAGTAAGAAATCAACAAAAAGATAAGTTTATTTTAGAAATCGTTTGAGTGAGGAAAAATGACATTTCCATTAAAATAAAGCATCAACGAAACTACTGATTTGGATATAGAATTTATTAAACTAAACATACTAGAAATTTTTCTTTTATTTAAAACAACTCAATCATCAAACACAAGTACAACCCAAAAATACAAATCCTCAAAGTCTCGTACGAAAAATTCAAGGTTAACACAATACATCAAGAAATATAAAACACTTAATATTAAGTCAAATAATACATCACGGAAAACACAAAAATTTACAAATTACGAAAAAATAAAATAACCAAAGGCAAGTGCATCCATAGAAAAATATCAACAAAAGGGCACTCCCAAAGTACCGCCTCGTAGTCCCAAAAGTAAATATGCAAGACAGGGGGAATCTCCCGAGATACCGCCTCGTAGTCCCAAAAGTAAATAGGGGGAATCTCCCGAGGTACCACCTCATAGTCCCAAAAGTAAATATGCAAGACAGAGGGATCTCCCGGAATACCGTTCCGTAGTCCCAAAGTAAATATACAGGGCAGGGAGATCTCCCGGAATACCGTTCCGTAGTCCCAAAGTAAATATGCAGGGTAGGGGGATCTCCCGGAATACCGTTCCGTAGTCCCAAAGTAAATATGCAGGGTAGGGGGATCTCCCGGAATACCGTTCCGTAGTCCCAAAATAAATATGATTTCAAAAACTGCACATCAAGTGTTCAAATATCACAAATGGCTCATCACGTGCTCAAATATTACAACATATCACAAATTGCACATCGAGTGCTCAAATATTTCAACTTGCCACAGAAATCAACAATATATCATTTTCCACAAATAAGGAGCCCATGGCTCGACCATAATGTGCACAAAATCTTAACAAAATATATTTCACATAAATTCAAGGTGGAAATCACACCAAATCATCATATAAAAATAATTTCAACAAACAATGATCTTGGCAAGATAAATAGAGATTTAATAAGTGCCAATAATTTCCAATTTAATTCATAAGGGCATCTAAGGGTTTTTAATCAATGAAATTCGCACATATAAACTAAGTACGTACTCGTCACCTCACGTACATGGTTTTAAATTACACAATTTGCACATAAGACTCA